CTCTGTTTGTTTAAACACCTACGGTGACAGCACAAGATGAAGGCTAACGCGGAAACCCAGCAATGAAAACTCATCCACGTCGTAACGCACAACGGGAACGTTACGGGCCTGACAGGAAGCCAAACCTGCCAAGAACTTGCCACATTAACAGAGTCCACATACTCTAAAAAAAACCAAAAAAGGGCAACTTGAAATAAGGCCAAAAAAATAACTGCAAATGGTAACTTTTAAGTCTGTGAAAAGGATCAGGCCATATATATTTTATTTACAATTTCTATTTAGAATCTTTATTTTCAACAAATAGCAGGAATATGCTGAGGAGCATTACTGTGTTCCCTAGGCAGATGACCCTGAGGCCAAATCTTCCTCATTAGTTTAAAACAGTCCCCATTTAATAGAATCATCTACCCAAGTAACTAAAGCAAGCAGGATTTGGCACTCAGTTACGAAAGCCCAGACTGCTCAAACATATTCCTTTAGCACATTAATAATTACAAATATATTACAGCGTCTTTTGAGATGTTTTCAGAAAGTGTGTTTTTAAGGATACTTAATATGCTTTACACCTGCAAAGTAAACAAAACTAATAAAACAAGCTTCTTTGCAGGCTCTTTAAACCTAATTAGCAATTTTATCACAGATGACAGAACACTAGCGATGTACTTTGGAATATATCTGTAAAACTTTAAGAATGTAAGCAGGGAATTATCCCTCTGCACTGTGATAAAGCACTTTCTTATCTCCCATGGTCACATGTGAGGACCCATTTTTACCACAACAATTGTGAAGTCTGCCCCAGCCCCGCAGTTTAATGGGAAATGGAAAAATGAATATAGCCAAACCAGTAACTCCATGTCAAGTGTGTTCCTAGCGTCAAATACTTCTCATCTGAACCACAGATTTTTGTTAACTTTTTAACCTAAGCAAAACTCCATCACACATTACCCGTTATTTAAACCTACAAAACCAAAAAAATAATGAAAGGATGTAGAAAGCCCTATCACTAGGAAAACACTGACAAGGGAAAGAACTAGTCTTGTTAGGTGTGCAGATGCACTCAGGATAAAAAGCTGACCACAACTAGCTCAACAGAACCACACTGACCTTTGCCTTTGTTCTGAACTGGACCTGACTGTTTCCTCAGGATTACAGCCACCAGAATGTGAAAGTGATATTTAAAAACAGGTTGAATGTAAATAGAAGTATTAATGTAAGTTAATGACTAATGTGTAAGACACCATCTAGTCTTTAAGAAGCACAGATTTGCTCAAGATGAAAGACAGTTCTTAGTCAAATAGTTCCAATATTAAAATCCCACTGTTATTCTGAAACATTTAGAAATGAGAAGTTATTCTAACCTACCTGGAAGTAGGTATTTCCTGAAGACCCAGACTGGATAGAGACAGAGTTCATTTTAGAACCCTTAAAGGCAATATTACCACCTTGCATACATACCAGCAACAACTCAACTGCAAGTAGGAATCTCACAGTACTACTGAAGGAATATTTAATCTGTTATAAGATGCCAGAACAGATCTTTTGTTCTTAATATACAGGCTAGAGAGTAAGCGGGACAGTGTGGTTTCATATTCTTTCCACGCTGTAACTCTCAAATTTATCAACAGAGGTGCTGGTAGAACCACAAGTGCCTGCTTACAGCACACTAGGGAGAGAGAGAGGGAAGGTCTCCAAAAGGCAGGTCAGACATCTGAACACCCTTTGAAAATCTCAACGAAGCTTAAGACAAAGTTGCCAGTGCTGGTTCTCTCTGAACTGTTAAATGTATCAACACTTTACTAAACAGAATGAAAATGTGTTTATACTTAAACCTCTGCTGGCTTCAGTAAAGAACACTGAGGATGTGTTCATGCCAGCTTAATAAATATTCAAAATGTATCATAGAAGTTGTTCCCTTCTCATTCAAACTGCAGTTACCCTGAGCAGGATCAGAAAGGTGAAAGTGGTTAAGTTTAATAGCCATGTCAGCTTGGATTAGCTTCATCTAAAAACAAACTTCTTTGGCCAGAAATAGTCTGTATCTCGCTAAAAACTTGCATGATTTTTAGGGAGCTACCAATACAGCAGGACTGTGCGTAATACTTAAAAAGACGAAGCTGGAGGGATGAGACCAAGAAATGCAACAGCATTAGCTCAAGGTGAGGGCTACAGGGATAAGAAGCCAGAAACCTGATGCTCTTTTCCTGGCATCTCTAGCTATGTTGGATTGAAGGGATTATCTCCATGGCCAATAAAAATATCTGCCATTTCTCTGGTAAGCAACACTGGTTAGGAAATCTCATGGATAAAGTCCTAGTCCCAGCAAAATTGGCATTGTATGAAAAAAAATTAAAAGGCGCTCACATGGCTGATTGAGCTGAAAATGATTACACATTCAAATGGAGCTTTACATTTTACTTTAGAAGAAGAAATATCACGCAGCTTTCCTCCAGAGAAGTGGTTCCACTCGAGAAGACAACAGCAGCCCTGAGAAAACTCCAAATTTTCCCTACGGTAGTACATCACATCGAATCAATTCACTCTAAAGCAGCTTCAATCAGTTAGCTTAGAAGAAAAGAAATGGCAAGGGTGAAAGTAAAACCAGGGATCAGGAAAAAGCAAGTTACTTCAGTGATTTGTATAAAAGAAAAAAAGCCTTTTAAACCTATTTATGAGAGAATTTAGATCAAAAGACCTTGAGGCTTAACTGTTTGTGATACCTAGCGTTCCCACTGATGGTAGAGTCAGCCTTTGGAGACTCTAGTAACAAGTTTTAAGTTGAGAGAAAATGAGATGAAACACAAAGATGTGGCTTAAATACAGGCCCCTTGCTTCACAGTAGGCCTTAAAAACTTCTCTGGTCACTCCTGTAATACAGTAACATTTGTGCTGATAAAACTAGCAAATGGAAGCCAATTTCTTTGAAGCTCAGGGGAAGTAAAACAGAGGTAGGGCATACTTTCTGATTTTCACAGCAGTTTCTATACTGTACAGCTATTCAAGGATTACTCCATTAATTCATTCTGTACCAATTTATTTTTAAAAATGTTATCTTATGTCATGTCAAACTCAGATGGTTTAAATTAACCACGGTCATCATGTAATCTTCTGTATGTGCTTCTGATTAAATAAACAAGTAACTTCTAATTCCTGCTTCAAGAGTAGCTCTCTTTCAGCATCACAAAATGAGAAGTGAAATAGCAATAAGTATGGTCTAAAGGAACTGTTTCTAATTAAGATGTAGTACGTGTCTTAAAGTACCTTACTTTGCAAGAACATGCAGTTGGTTTGCAGGAGGCTGTCAAAACATTCAGAAAATTAAGTTTTTACAAAATTTCGTATCCAAATAGAGTTACTTTCTATAGTCAACTGTAACTTCAAAGGAACAGTATACAGCACTTAAAGACATTCTACAAAACCCATATCCACTATATTCTGAAGTGCTCTAATTTAGCATTGCAGCTATTGAACTGTGAGTGTAATTTGTTTTTTTAATGTCTAAAATAAAACACCAAAGCAAGCACAAAGGAAATGTCGTATGAGTACTGGGAAAACCAACAATAAATGGAACTGCATTTGCCATTGACATTGGGCTTAATGAACTGGTTACTCTAAGTTACTGAACTGTTAAAGGACCCCAGGAAAAAAAAAAAAAAAACACAACACAACAAAACCCATATGATGTTAGTATGGGGCTTTGAATTTCAAGGGAAGAAAGAGAAGACTGAAAATAGCACATAGAGGTTTCTAACACACTTGGTGGATGTGTCTGTGACTACAACACAGCCATGCTGTGGAATAATCAGTTTTAAAATACCTTAAAACCCAAGACATGAATTGTTCTAGTCTGGTTGTTCCTCATGCAATTATGGTAAATATTTAACATTAAAATGATATCATAAAATTGGGTAGCTCTTTAGTCCAGTCATATAGCTAATGACTGTGTAATAGTCTGACAAGTTTAAGATCTCATGCCCTGGTTTCAGGACTAAGCTTATTAGAGTAATCACAACTGTAAATTTTAAAAGTATACAGAAAACCCCAAAGATCAGTTCCAGAGTATGGATTTTATTCCAAGGCCACAATTTGATGAGTGGTTCCATATTGCAAGTGCACTAAATATTGGTCCGTTTGGTGTTGCAATACAAACTTTGATGCTGTCCTCAACTTTCAAAAACAAGCTTCCAAATCCAAAAGCCAGCCACCAGTTTTCCATTTTCAACATCTAATCAGATTATATTAAACTCCTATAAAATTAAGTAAAAAAAAAAAAAAAAATCAATCACACTTTCAAATTAGTAGGACGGGGCAGAAATGTTACAAACCTCTACAGAAATGAGCCAAAGCATCAGAATTGAGGTCCTGTGTTTAGTCTATTTTATAAGGATTTCTTCAGTTCTCTCAGGCTCTGTGGTACCTTTACAAATGATGGTGAATAATGTCAGAATTTACAAGAGAGACCAAAGAACCCAGAAGGCATTTTGGAAGTCACATCCTCTAAAAAATAACTTCCAAAAAAACTTTGTCTTCCCAAAACACCAGCCACATCTTCAAACAAATGAAAAGGGCAAGAGAATATCTTCACAAAACCTTCAAAACTTCAACTGCTTAATCTGCTGCTTTGGCTGACTCCGTTCCTATTCTTCCCACTGAAAACTGAAGTATCAGTATTATTTCCGTTATACATAAAAACACAATAATTACTATCCTTACTGTGGGAAGCAATTGCCTACAGTTTTCTCATCCTGTAGATAGCACCTTACTGTTTTTAAAGTTGTTTTCTGTGCATACCTGTGGGAAACGGTGCTTGTAACGTAGTATAATTAATGACAATTTCTCCTTCATCAATTATATACAAAACTGATGGGCCTAAAGCCTCAAGAGTAAATTTGCGATATTTCCATGCTAAGCACTTAAAGGTCTGGCATTCCTTCTTCTGGAAGCTTGTTTTCAGAGGATGTATTGCATATTAGAAGTTCAATACTGGGTACATGTACCATAGAACAAACGATATCCCCAAACAGTTCACTTCTCAATGCCCAACACAGAAACCCCTTTCTTACAATGGTAATATTCAGTAGCTAATCACTTCTCAAAAACAGTTACAGAAAATCTGCTATTTTCTTCTCCCTTCCCCTGATTTAGTTCCCATCGCCATAAACAAGTGTCATTTGGGTGGAAAATAGTTCAGTGTAGTGACGTCGGGTATCTCAACTGAAATTTGGCAGCCCAAGAAGAGCACCAACAGCTCCAAAGTATCCCTGTTCAAAACAAACAAAAATATACTTCAGGTTCAAGTAGGTTATTAAATTCTGCACTAATCACATTTCAGTGATGACAAAGTATCACTTTTAAGATACAATCTTTAAAAATAATTTTTTTAAGCTTTGAGAGACAAGCATTTTATCTTTCTTATCTAGATAACTTCGGGAGATTTCACCCCTAGTCTCCACATACACTGCAGGACTTCCAAGACATCTATCAATGACTCCTAAAGCACGGAAGTCAAGTTTGGTTTGTTTTTCCTAGAGAAGCTGTGTATTTTGGTTGCTAAAGGATCTTAAATATCCATAGCAATGCTACTCCTAAGGTACAAGTCAAAAATTTCTTGAACTAACCGCACCTCACGGTTTGAAAGAATTATGTCCACGCTTCACCACCATGCTTTGGTCTGGATACTTACATGCACACAAAGAACCACATTCTCCTGTTGGATTACTTTTCCCCTTGGGGGAAGTGAGATCTTCCCCCTCCCTGTAACTATGAAATACTACGAAGTGCTTGGAATCTCCACATGACCAAACATAAGAATTTAAAATTTACCCATGAAAAATCCAAAGGGGGTAGGTAGAACTAACAAGGAACCATTCTGCTATTCCTGTAGACAATAGCACCAAGACAGACTACAGTCAGTCTCAGGATAAGCAACAAAGGAAAAAGGTGTGAAAATCAACTGAAGGGGAATAGACATAATGCTGTAGTATCATCTGCAGACCAACAAATAGAGGACAAAAATTATTAGGCCACTGCAAAGATACTACAAGTCTCTCAAACATTGCACCTGTAATTAATATTCAATGCTTATATTTTAACCAAAACAGGTCAACTCTCTCTGCATTATGTACTGATCTAGATAGCAGAAGCTGCCCAAAGGCATATTAGTCCCAAAGCATAAAATCACTACAATAATTGCAAGATGTATCTGTGGTGTTGTAAAAACAGCCCTTGGTAGAAGCAGTCTTGACTATCAGGACATTGCTCAAGCTCAGCCGAGAACAATGCAAATATTTCAAGGGCCTGTGCTTTAGATCTCTCTGTAATCTTCTGGAATACAATACTTACTCCACCCAAACCAACGGAAAGACTGTTAAACCTTAGAGAGAGCTTAACATTTTCTGATTCCTCTCCAAAGGTCCATGGTGTGAACTGACAGGCCAAAGCGAGTACAGTGCTTCCCTGGCAGAGAGCACTGTCCCCTAAGAATCAACCGCATGGCAAACCTCCTCTGTTTTCAAGGTTTACTGAGCACTTGATGTCTCATGGTATCATGCTTATGAGAGCTACTCAACACTTGCATTTGTGATTTACGGCAAGACAGATGAACCAGAGCATACCTCATGTTCCAGGAACAAGGCCTTCAGCTGGCCTTTCGACCAGTAGTCCAGTGCATACGCAAGAAGCTTCATCGACAAAGTATTCACACGTAAAAAATTGCCAACAAACACAACTCTGTTTATTTTCTAAAAAGAAGAGAAAAACAGCAAAGCATTACGTCTTTTCACTGTTTACCACATCCCTGAAACATAAAAGAGCAGACTACCTCGAGCAAGAAAAAAAGCCAAACCAAGAAATAAACAATACACAATTAAAATATGGTTCTAAAATTTAAAGCACAGCATCCTTTGGGAAAAGGAAAAAAGTACAACTCTCAAGAATTAGAGAACTTAATTTACAGAGAAGTAGCATTTTGCTACAAACTAATAGAGCATTTTCAGTAATTAAGCCAAAGAAAAAGCCCATCTCCAAGTGACACTACATGAACAATACTTGTATTTGGTAGAGAAGACTCAATGCCTTCATAGCCCTGTACAATGCTGCTTGATCCATATGCAACAAGGCAGCACTGTAAAGAAGCCGAAGACAGTGAGACATAGCAAGTGTTCCTTTCATCTTCAGACCTCACGATACCTTCGCCTAACTTGAGGCTAAGACTTAAATACTAGAAGTGAGCTGTGAATTTTAAATCAAGTCAAATGAAAAAAAAAGTTAAAATCTCTTAACTTTCTCCATTCAATGAAATTGATCCAGTATTAAATGGAAGCAACATTAAACACTGGTTTAATGATATGAAAGCAAGAACCAAAGAAAACTGAATTGTTAGTGCTTAACGTAGTGCTTGATTTTGTTAGATCAATACTTGTATCCAAGTTGTTACAAACACTAGTATGACAATTCAATCCATAGTCAAACGACTAACATGAAACCTTTTTCACCATCTTGATCAGTTCCTAGTGAAGATAAACACACTGTTAAGACACCCAAACATAATTATGCTCTATAGCAGAAAGCTGGTGTAATTAAATCCGTTTTATCTCCATACATCAGTTCAAGATACTAGTTTGTGTATCCCTGTTAACCATTTCTTAGGATTCGTAGTTCTGTGACATAGCTGGAATTGGACCAGAACAACTTGGAATAAAGCTAATGTGTGCAGTTTACGAGCTTTGGTTTGTACTCATTTGCCCACACCCATCAATATAAATCACATCCATTTGCCTCAAACTGTTAGTATGTACTTTTAACTTACACCCTCATTCTAACTCTTTTGTTAATAAGCTTTGCCATAAAGCAAAAAAGCCAAAATTAAGTTTTTACCCACAAAAATAACTTTCTTCTTCAAGACAGGCAAAAGAGAAAGACACAGAAGGAAACTGAGGGAGAACTGGCAATATTAAAACTAGAAAAATATTAGTCTGGCTCCTAAGCATAAGGAAGGTTACTGCAGCTAACAAGGTTGTTGGTATTTCTGAGACTAACACGTCCACAGGTTTTAAGCAGAGCTGTAAATACAGTCACCCATACACTCCTTTAAGAAAGCTGTTACTAAACCTCACTGTATCCAAAATTTGTTGGTAATACAGGAGGAAACCCCTGTAGCTCAGACAGCCATATCTTCTGTGCCTGAATCCAGTATACGTCCACAGGTTCACAACTGTCCATGCTAATCATACTGAAACTGAACACATACTAATTCTATTTAGCAGAGCTTTGAGAAATACAATATGCCAGGAAATTGGTTGTGTATCCACCAGTAAGAAAACAGGTGTCAGAACAATTTCAATTCTCAGGAATTGGTAAAAATTAAAAATAATGCTTAACCGGATACAAAGCTTTATATGAGCTTTAAACAGAGAATTTCAGCTTGAAGAAACTGCTGGAGGCCATTAGGTCCTATGCACTGCTCGATGCAGGTCTTGCAGCAATTTAAATGTCAAAGTTGCTCTTCACATGTTTTGAAACTCTCCAAGGACACTGAGTCCATAGTCTCACTAGGTCCATGTTTCAGGGCTTAAGCACTCTCACTGTGAGCATCTTTTTTTCCCCCTTACACCAATTCCCTTTGCTCCATGTTGCATCCATTGCTTCCCATCATTCTGCTGTGCATAGCTGGCAGCATCTTCCTTGTAACCCTCTCTAGATAGTGCCAACTACTCCAGGCTTCAGCTTCATTTCCAGACTTAACTTGGAACCCTCAAGCGTCTGCTCACGCATCAGGTGCTCCAGGGCAGGGCCCTGTCTTGGTAACCTGCCTGTTAAACTTGTTCTAGTTTGCCAGTGCTTCTCTTTTGGGTGTTGGTGGTGGTTGGGGAGGAGGGGGAAAGAGGTCACCTCCTCTGACCTGCTGGCTATGTGGTTGCTAATGCACCTCAGTACCAGGTGAACCCTCACCACAGCACTTGTACACTGCTGATCTGTGTTCAGTTCAACTCGTCTGCAGCCAGCCTACATCCCACCTTCTGCTTTTGCCATGACGATGTGATCCTGAAAGATCAACAAACTGGTCTCCTTATGCCACTGGGATAGCCTTCCACAAGACCTTGCTTCCTAAATCCCCTGAAACCTGAAGTCCAAATAGACTTGCCTTCACTTTCCTCAGGATCTTAAATTCTACTATTTCAAGGCCATCACTGAAATTCCTGATCAGTTCTTCACTCATGCACAGCAGGTCCAGCACCATGCTTGCCTAGTCAGCCTGCCTAGCACATATCAGAAAATTGTCCCCAGCACACTGAGAAGTATGGGTGGCTTGTCATCTGCCATGTTACCTTTCCAGTATAGGTTGGGATAGTCCCTCATGAGAACAAGCTCTTACAGGTCCTCTTGTATCCCATGTTGTCTGTGTTTATGTACACAGACTTCAGTTTGGCTCACAATCACTCAGTTTTCACAAAGGGACCTCATATCCTTTCATCACAACCTCTTGTGCCCCTGTCCCCAACTCAGCTGCAGGCTTTGGGATACATCCCTGAACAAACCTAGCTTGAAGCCCTCCTCATCAAGTTACCCCCTCATTAGCAAAGATATCTTCATCCCACTTTACCAGAGACAGGCAAAATATTCTGAACCAATTCCTAGTTCCTTAATACTACAGGAACTTCTTTGTTTCATTTGAGAATGTGCTAAAAGGTTTAAAATGGTACACCACTTTAGCAGTCACTTAACCTGAAACCAAAGAACAGACCTATAGATACATCATTCCTTTGTCAGAAGTTTTTACCTCATTTACTGCACACATCCGGGCAATAGACCCAATGTTATTGGTGATGGTGACCAATATGGCTCTTGCAAGATCTTCTTTACTAACAGACTCTCTCTTTTCTTTGTAGATCATATTCCCAAAACTAGAACGGGAAAAAATTTCATTAAGTACAAAGTGATTCATGAGGACTTAAAATAATTTCACAATGTCATTTTGATGCTATAACTGAATTCTCATGTTTGTCCTTAGGGAGTTCCCTTTTTAGGTCTGTATTAAATACAGCAATTTGGCAACTGACACTACAACATATGTATTTATTCCTTCACGGGAAACAGTCAACCTTATTATAATGCCCCCCCCCAAGTATTTTGATTTACACTGCTGACTTCCACACAGAAGCACCTACAGCAAAAAGTAGCCTTAGGTAAATCTAGTCACTGTAAATTTAGTCAATGCCTAAGTCTGACTGGTGAACCCTTCAAGTCCTCATGCTTGCCTCCTCACTCACAATTATCTATCCAATTCTCTGGTGTCCAAGTAGAAGTAAAACAGACATGAGTTGAATGGCTTTGATGGAACACAATCTTCCAAAACAGAAAATAAACAGCTGGCAGACTGCAATTTGTCTAAATGAGGAGTTCTAGGTTAGAAGGACATGTCCATTACTATATGGAGTAGATAATTTCTCAATGAATTATAAAAAAGGCAAGACAAGAATCCCTTGCTATGCATATTTTACCACTAAGGACTCTGTGCCATAGCCAAGTCAGTTCAGAGAGACAGAATCCTAATTATTCTAAAACTCAAATAGTCATTAAAGATCCTAAGGATCTTAAAGTAAGAAGAAAAAGTACATATATACAGAGCAAGTTAAGATGAACTGACTAGAGGTGTAAAGTTTGCACATATTAATGCCTCTCAGTGTATGCTCTCTCAAGAGGCTTTGATTCAGCTGGCTGGAGAGGGAGAAGAATTAAGGTACTGTGAATT